TTTTTCTATGTATATATAATGAAAATATGTCTTGATTGTACTGCTCAGTGATTGAAAATGTCAAGTGTTAATGTTTAATGATAATACGATTTAATCATTTTACATCACCAATCTAGTTCAATTATATTATTTAATTGATTTTCATACTAGGTTTTTTGTATGAATCATTTTTAATTAAGATTTTACTCGCGGTTATCTGACATTCGGGACATTCGGGTGAATCAGTTTCTACCTAACTCTAAAATAAGTGTATAACATTATATCAGTATAAATACCTAATGTCTGAATAATAACTTTATATAATGGCTTAAATAAACTTTTTACCAAGAAGATCGCATATAAATATATATTTTGGACTACTATTTAATTACTTTAATAAAAGCTAAATAAAGTTAAAATTATTATTTTATTATGTATATAATGCTTATATAAGTATCCAGTTCTAATTTTAAATCTGCAATGATCTGCATCATTTGATAGTAAAATACTGCATAAATATTTTATAATAATGTATAACCATACAATCTTAAAACATTTAAAAATAATAAATAATGGCTCTTTCAATAACCACACGGACAATATAAATTAAACAATAAAGGTCTAACCCTACAATACTCTATTGACATCATAAGTAGGTCACATTTTGAAACGATCATTCCAAGGTGCATCCGACCATACCCCTATATAAGAGGGAGTCAATACTCTTTTTGGAAGCTCTTGATCTTAGGTCGTCAGTGCGCGCGCACGGACCGACAGAATAGTGAAAGAGTCTCCTGTGACAAGTGACCACCGTGCACGTATATTTAACTTTTATAATTCATTTTTTTGATTTTAGTTTTCTGTGCGAGTATTGAAAAGTATCCAACTGCAGTATATCAAATCCTATGTTTGTCTCATTTTAACCTCATTACACTCCTGCGATAGTTGTAAGTGCACAGCTCGTCGACATTCGAATAACTACTACAATGCAAGTAAGTGCTTATAGCTTATAGGTATTTATAATATCTACTATATATCATATCTCCCCTCCTATATATATTTTATTTTCCGATATTTTACTTTTTTATTTTTAGGTTATCACAAGTCTCAATCTACGATTAATATTTTTAGAAGACAATAATTTATAATTTTGTTTTAAAGTATATTTTAATGTATATCAAACTATTTTTTGTTGATCACAAAGAAAAACTTGTGTTGAATCTTATTTAAAAATGTATACATAGGTATTTTCGATACATCAACATTAAGTTGTCTTTTATATCAATTTTGAGGATTAATAATGAAAAATATAATATTAAATTAAACGGTGAATTTTTTTTTAGATTTATCGAATGCTTATTAGTAACACACATTTTAGTCACGAAAGATATTGTTACAATAACTGAAATAACTAAAGTACTCGTAATTTCGTATTAAATATTGTAAGAAAAAAATGATCATAATTTTATTGTATAGATAACTAATGTATTAATATAAAAAAAGGTTAGTTTTGGTACATAATATAATAACATTACTTTGTTAATTATTTATTTTTTTTAATGCGATTTTATTTTTGTTGAATTATTAACGCCAATTCTTTGATATTTGGTTTATAGTCAGTAACTTTAAATATTATTACAAGTGGCCTTGCATTTATCAGTTTGTCGGTTTCTTAAATCAGATTTTACAAAATTAATTTCAGAAAACAATGACTCGCATGAATAAGATAAAGAAAAAAATACAAAACAACTAATGCTACTAATTTTAAAGCGGAATAATCATGTGGAATTGTATTTTACAATTTCAAAATCTTATTTCACGATCAGTCGAATCGGTTGCATTCAAAAACCACACACATTTGGTTTTAACCCCAAAAAGGTTGGTATACATAAACCGCACATTTTATGGATTGCCAGGTATGTATATCGTACAGCCAAATACCGCACACTTATAGTGGGTAAAAATCTCACTGTATTATGTATTAATAATAATGTATTTTGTATAGACGAATGTTGTACATATAATTTTAAAGTTAATTGTTACATTCAAAAGCTAATCTTATCGCACGTTGATCTGCTCGAAAAATAAACAGTAAATTTGTCGACCGAAACGCGTGGTATAACGTAAAGTTTATATACATATATAATATATATATATTATAAAAAAAAGTGTTTTTATAAATGAATTTGAAAACTATTGATAGTAATAAAGGTTGTGAGACGGGATGGTCTTAAAGGCTAAATAAACCTTAAGAAAAGAAGAAGAAGAAGATAGTAATGAAGGGGGCAATTTTTTTTTTTATTTATATTTTAATTTTTTGAAAAAAAACGTCGGCAAACATTTTTAACCACAAACATTTTTATATATTTTTTTTAAATTTTATACTTAAAATTTTTCAATGCCTATATACATGGTACTTCAATAAATTGTTTTTAAATAAATATCTAGTATAAATAATAAATAATTAATTATATATCATTATAAAATGTGCGGTTTTCACCTACTAAATATGTGCGGTTTTTTTTCTGTATTTTATCAAAAATGTACGGTTTTTGGAGTCGTCGACCAAATCAAATCCACCGAGTGATTCAATAACGATCGAGAGAGAAAAATCGTAATGCGTGTTGTCAACAAGTAGGCAGGTAGATTATACATGAGATACTCGATTTTATCGTTTCGGTTTGTTATTATTATTATTTATATAATAATAAAAAAATGAAATGAAAATTAAAAATTATCCAAATGGTTAACCCTCGTAAATTAATATGTAAACAAATAAACAAATAGTTTAGGAATAGAAATAAATGAATAAATAAAAGCTTAGCCTGGAGTATTATTATATTTTTAAATTACGACCGATTATTAACATTTCTCTGTCCTATAAGAACTCATTTTAAATAATCTCTCCAATTAAAACAAATTATCTCTATGTAAGACGACTAATTTTTCTCAACGTATTTCTTCCTTTATTTTTTCTTGTCCATTTATTTATTTCTATATTATTATTATTATAATTTTATTGTTCATCACTAAACACAAATGTCGCTTTCTCGCATGGTCGTTGGCGAAATATTTGTTGTCGTTGTGCAAATCAAACGATAACACAGTAAATAAATCACGTCGGCCGGATACGTTATAGTAAAAGAGTTGATTTAGAGCAGCCATACTCAATCTTTTTTTATTTGGGCCACATTAAATAATTTTAAATATTTCACGGGCCGCAAGTCGAAATGAA